AAGGCCCCCACCAGTAGCCCACCGCGGGAGCAACAAATAAACACCAAGGCCCCCACCAGTGGCCCACCGCGGGAAATATAAGCAAACACCCAAGGCCCACACAAGTGGCCCAACGCGGGAGCAAGGCCCCCTCCAATTAATAACAGTAAGCTGCAAGAAAAGGTAAGCCTTTGAGACTTGCCACGTATATTCAAGTCGGGCGCGATTTGTTTAAATTTGCGGTGAACTGGTACACGAAAGTACCAGGAACACATCAATTTAGTGAAAAAAAAAACAAAAACGGTGAAAAAATAAAAATAAAATAAAAATTTTAAATAAGTGCTTAATTGTGTGTGCAGCCGATATCCAGTGTCAGGAGCGCCAGCAGATAGTAACCAGGAGCTCCAGCCCAATCAGCTTAGCCGACAGTAGAAGCTGCGCCAATATCAAGGCCCGACCGAACGAGTGCAGCTGGGGTTAGAAATTATCTCAAAGAAAGCTCTTTAAGATACATTCTCACGAGCATCACTCATTGGACTCCCCATCGACTGGTCATCACACAACCAGTGGAAAAAGCACCGTAGCAAATTAATCCGTTTTTTGTATTAATTTATTGTTTGTAAATATAAAGTTAAGTCATTAATAAATAAACTTCTTTCTCGAAAATGGCGAATGCTAGTGATTTTTCTCGCGCTGGTGATGCCCTAATAGAGTTTGAAGAGTGGTTTAATCAGACTCCAGGTGCAAATCACTCTGTTTTTTCACTTGAGATACAGAAGGAGGAGCTTAAGGCACTGTGGGCAAAAGTCAAAGATTCTTGCGTTTCATATTCGCGGAATTTGTCTGAAGACAGTACGGGTGTTGCGGCCATGAGTTTGGCCAAATGTAAATGCCAGGATTGTGGTCCACGGAAGACTCGACGGGGGTCCACGGTGACGTGAACAAAATATGGGGGTCCATGAGTTGTAAATGGGGGTCCACGAAAATTTATCTGGTTTCGATGTAAAGAACCAAAATGATTGCTTGATAGCCTTTTTATTTAACTTAAATTTTTTTGAGTGGTGTATAGTGCTCTTGACGCACTGCTGCACTTACCGGCACTTTGTGTTTTCATACGTGGGGAAGCCTTACAGGCCACCTGCAGACTAAAAAGAACCGGACGCTGGTATGACAATGAGTGGGGCGCCGCGAAAATTGCTGGCGGCAGAGATTTAAGCACTTGTGTCTTTTCAATGCTACAGGATAGTACCATTACCTTTGTTGAAGAAATTCTATAATGTTGAGTTTGCTGAGACAGAATGCTGGTTTGATTCCAAAACTGACTCTGTGTCATGATCTGGGGTCTTTTTCTAGAGTTAATGGAGATAATATCCACTTTTCTGTAGGGGAATATGCTTCGGTCTTCAATACTCAAAGCCATGGACTACGTGGTAGAACATGGGTGGAGGGGAAGGAGTTTACGTGACCGCAGTGACAACCAAGCTGCACTTAAGGCATTGACCAGCGCCCTATTTAACTACTTCCAAACTAGTTGGCAATGCAAGTCTTGATTAAAAAATGATGGTGAACATAAGGAGGCTGTTTTACTCTGGGTGCCAGGTCACTCTGGAGTACCTGGTTATGAGACATCTGATCAATTGGCCAGAGTGGGCTCAGACCAGGCATTCCTCGGAACATTTGATGAGTTTATGGTGAAGATAATGTAAATATAGCTAGCGCTCGCAGTGCTCTTAAAAAGTTTAACTCTTCCGAGCGAGAGAGTATTTTGATGTATTTGCGTGCTCTATTTTTTAAAACCTACAAGTGTGTAATCATATTATTTTTATAAATAGAACACAAGAAAATATTTTACTTTTATTTTGGCCACTCTGAGTTTAGTTTTTGAATTCACCTGCGATGCAAATTTACATTGTTTGATCTAATTTTCACATTTAATTTTTTTACGAGCTTTGGGAATATTTAGAGATATATCAGCAGGGGGTTCACCGAAACCAGTAAATTTATGAAAGGGGTCTACGAGAAAAAAAAAGTTTGGGAAGCTCTGCTATACAGCTTACCTGACTTGTGCGGCGTTGACGGGTGAAACCACCGATAATTTGACTTTTGCTCAGCCAAGCTCCTCAACGTTTAACCCCATAAACCGTGAACCTGAGCCAACACCCCGGTCAAGCCTTCACCTTCCTCCATGCGATGCGGAGATTTTTTATGGTGATTATATGGCGTGGTCATCCTTTAGGGATTTATTCACGGCCATTTACATAAATAATTCGCGGTTAACTCCCGTTGAAAAATTGTACCACCTCAATCAAAAAACCCGTGGGGAAGCCAAGGATATAGTGAAAAAGTCCCCGTTGACCAATGATGGTTTTGCGATTGCGTGGCAAAACTTGACCGATCGTTATGAAAATAAAATATGTAGTTATAGTCAATAACCAGTTGAAGACATTATTTAACTTGCCCACGGTAACAGTTGAGCGTGGTACGGATATTAAAAAATTGCAGCGGACAGTGAATAATTGTATCGCAGTCCTGCCAATGTATGGAATTGATATCACGAACTGGGATGCTAGATTTGTGTTTTTAGTTTCAAGCAGACTACCAGACAACACTTCACAGTGGTTCGGATCGCAAATCTAGCTGGACGAAACTATTTAAACAAATACTCGTTGATGGATCTTTACACCACTTCTTACCTAGGGGATTTTTGAGTCGCTGATTACGAATCTGAAGTCACTTATCAAAAATTCTAAATGGCGGATCCAATATGCCGGACGAAAATTAAAAAAAAAATCGGTAGATTTCTATGAAACTGGGTATCTGAGGGTTTTCTGGGTCGCTGATTACATATCTAAAGTCATTTACTAAAAATTCAAAATGGCGGATCCAATATGGCGGACGAAAATTTAAAAAAATCGCTAGATTTCTATGTAACTGGGTATCTGGGGATTTTCTGGGTTGCTGATTACGAATCTAAAATCATTTACTTAATTTACTTTATTTACTTCGCAACGAGCATTTTCATCAGATATTTCTTTCAATTTACTAACCACATAATCACGGACACCTTGTTGTCTTTTAGAAGTTTCAGCAACACCAAATGTCAAACAACTCACTTCTTAAGATTTTATTTACCATGACTAAAATTTAAGATCACAGCAAGAAACACAAATATATTTCAGAAAAAATTTTATAACAGCGCTTAAAGATTTGCATGCCTGTTGTATAATTTTTTAATTTCAGAAAGCAGAAAATTCGCGAGGTACTATTTTTTTTAACTCTTACCTAACCAAAGGTTTTATAACTCCAAGTATTTTTCTGTTTTCATATGTTAATGTTTTAATAAATGTTGTTTGTTTTCATATGTTAATGCTTTAATAAATGCAATTTCTATTTGAATGTATTGTCAGGAATGTATTACAAGTACCATTAAGTATTTTAAAAACAAAAAAATTTTGACTTTCGTCCAGCTAGATCTGCTGTCCGAACCACTGTGCACTTTAGCTTTGTGGGAGCAGGGAATCGTTGACAATACTGAAATTCCGAGGTGGGAGGATTTGGATAACTACCTTTCGAGTAGGTATCAGACCTTGGAGACGGTTTCATACATCCAAAGCACACGAGTGCCTAAGGCAGGACCAAGTCGACCACCGGCGTTGTCGGAAAAATTTAATGGCCCATCACAGTCACTTCTCACAGCCCGCATGCAGGTTGTGCCCAGACCAGTCCCATGCGTTGAGATCATGTCCCAAGTTTTTAGCGATGCAGGTAGACGATCGTTGTAAAGTAGTTAGAAAATATAACCTGTGTATGAATTGTACTGCAAGAGTACTTTTACTTGTTTGAGGTGTCATCAACGACACCATTCGTTACTGCATCGTACCCCACGTACAAACAGCCCTTCGGAAACAACAAGGCGACCTTTTTCAGGAAACGAAGCAACTCGGAGCCTCCTACCCCAACGGCAGCCGGTAATGTAAACGCTCTGTTTGCTGCTAGTGCTAGTAACATAATTTTGGGTACGGCTATGGTGTACATTCGGCACTTAGGAGTGGACTTTCATGACAGAGCGGCTGCAAAGACTTATCGACGAAAGCTCGCACAATTTGTTTTAGGTTCACCTGCCGACCCCCAGTTTAAAATTGAGGCAAGAGGCCTGATTCTACCCCAACTGACAGGAAACCTCCCCCAGATTTCAGTGGACCAAGCAGATCTTGGTCTACTGCCCCCTATAGAATTAGCCGATTTTAATTTCCACAAAAGTCAGCAGGTCGACATGATAATTGGTGTGGGCTTGTATCCAGCTATTATGAAAGAACAAATTATGAAGAATGTTTTGGGTACCCTGCTAGCACAGGAGACAGTTTTTGGTTGGGTATTGACAGGTCCTGTTCCTCGGACTACTAGGACAGGTGCTTCCTGTATGTCAGCAGCTTAAGTTTAGAATACAAACCTCACCGAGAGATGTCGCTGCTAATCACTCGTTGACAGGACTCGTTACTTAACTCCCTTTTGGCACGAGTCCTGTTAGTCGATCCCGTTGCCAGATTCCACCTTCTGTGGAGCCTATAAGCAATTCAGTATAGTCTCGTTCTAATTTGTGTTCTCAATACCTTTGGAGACTAGGGCAATCGTGAAGAGTAAGTAAAAGATTGTCTTAAAGAACCGGCTCCCCCATTGATCCCCGTTGCCGGAATCACGAGGATTTTCGGCCCCTAAATTGCCCCGCTCGAACAACTAGAATTTTATAAGCTTGTTAACTGCATACCCCGAAAATTTCTAAAAATTCTGTTTCGAAAGCTCGAAATTTAGATAAAAATTTGTGGAATTCTTCTAAGTTCTGTATAAAGTTTGAAAGTGTGATTTATATAGTTTTTGTTAAAGCATGAACCATATTTTTATAAAAAAATATCAAAAAAAAAACATTAAAAATATTAAAAACGAAACACTATTCATCCATTTTTAGCCGCCACTGTATGTATGTGTGTATATGTTAATGTTTTTGTTTTTGTTTATGTTTTTAGAAAACCTGAATTGCTTAAAGGGATTTATGCTATGGGCTTTAATGCTCCTTCAAAGATACAAGAAACTGCACTTCCTACTTTACTTGCGGACCCGCCACAAAATATGATAGCCCAAAGCCAATCTGGAACAGGAAAAACGGCAGCGTTCGTTTTAGCTATGCTAAGTCGCGTAGATACCAAATTGGATTTCCCACAGGTAAAGCTGACATAAATCCATATAAACATATCACTATGTGATATATTATGTATAACTATCGCGATAACTTAGCGCAGTAAAATTAGATAAATTTGGTACAAAAAACAAAAAAATTGTAACGGCGATTTTTTTATGCAATTTACTTCTATTTCCGGCATATTGGATTTTAGTAATTTTGGGTTTTTTGCGATTTGCAAGCTTATTTTCCATTTTCGTAAAAAATGGTTCAATACAAATTTGTAGAGAATTTGATTTCCCACATTTGTTATATAGAAGGTTAAAAAAACACTTTATTGTAAATAGTTAGCTAAAACTGTGAAAAAATTTTACATTGTCACGGTTTTCGCTATTTTTCGCCAATTTCTGTTGAAAATATATATATTGAAATTCCAAAGTTGTAGAGAATTTCATTCTCCACAACTTTTATACGTACATTTTTTTTTTTTGTACGACGCTTAGATCACGACCGGGAATGGGCCAAACATACCGATGTAAGGGAAGCGGCGTAAAATTCATTTTCATATAATGTCAACCGGTACACTACGATGGCCAAAACTTTATAGGACGGGTTACAAAGATTAAGTATTAAAATTATCACTTAGACGCCCCTTATTAAAAACAGTGTGGCCTTTTCAAAAATTCAACATGGCGTCTCAAATATGGCGTCTAAACTAACCGTAAATTAGAGTTTGCTTTACAACTTTTGTGCCACCGGTGAACCCAACACTAAAAAAAAAAGTAACAGCAGGTTCTTATATTTTTGAGGTTGCTGATTACGAATCTAGAGCATGATTTTACAAATGGCGAATCCAATGTGGCGGCTAAAAAATTAAAATTGATTCGTTCCGCTTGAAACGTTTTCCTTTGAGGTTTTTGGGCCGCTTACTACTAATCAGATGTGAGGTCAGAAAAATTCAAAATGGACGTTTCAAATATGATGTTTGACGCAGAAACCCGTTTTTATATGTATGTAGGTTGAAATATTAGGGGTCCACATTAAAGTGATAAAGGTATAAATTGATAAATTTATCAGTTTATCAACATTATTACATGAACGCACCTTGGTAAATAATTGCACAAAATTGTTTATTATTTAACTTATATGATGGCTAGTTACGTTTCATTCTTGGTGACAGGTAATAAGATCGACGGAAATAAGGTCAATTGACTTTATTTCCCACCCTGGTGCGAAATAAAGTCAATTGACATTATTACCTTTTTAAAAACGAAATAAAATCCATTGACATTATTTCTCTTTCAAACATTAAATTGGCTTAGCTTCGCGGCGGCCCGCGTTAGCGCGCTCGCGCCCCGCGTACCCCGCGCGACCGGCGCGCACACCACGTCACGCTACGCCGCTACTTCAAATGGCACTTAATTTTTCAATTTGGCACTTTTGTAAAAAAAAATAACATTTCAATACATTTTTGTGAAATCCTTTGCGTGCACTTCTTTTTCTCAACTAAAATTTTCTAATTTATAAAGGCTATTTAACTGGTTTATCTTATTTTATCATTGCACTTTTGTTTGGAAAATGTAGCTTTATTTTGTTGCTAAATGTGAATGATTAAAAGGAATGACACCTTTTTTGGCACATTCTTTTCTATTTGGCACATTTTGGCACTTTTTTATCCTCAATATGGCACCTCATAACTAAGGATAGTTGGCAGCCCTGATTGGAAGATTTCTTCTGTGTTTTGGGGCAACAACTTGTCTGCAGTAAAAAAGCATATAATTTTTGTTTCAAAATAGTGTGAAAACCAATCAATTAACTTATATGATCTCGGTTCCGATATTAAATTATCAATAATTGTTTATACCCGCATTTTGGCACATTGGCTCGTTGAATGTGCCATCTAATAAATAGTGTCGTCGTTTTCCTTAGCTGCTTTTAAATGATGTCGTCACAAATTGCTGGCGGAGACATGAATACAGCGTAAGAAAATTCTTTTTCTATAATTCTTTCCTTATAGAAAGGTTGGTTTCCTTTCCACCTTAAACATTCCGAATTCGTTCAAAATATGCTAATTTAAAACACAAATTTCTTTCAGTGTTCCTCCGGGGTTTTTGGACATGGACTGTTTCTTCAATTAATAGTGTTCGCTTTATTTTTGTGGAAACGAAACATGTTTTGCAAGTTATGGATCATTTCTACACTTTTTCTTCAAATATTTCTCGTATTCCAGCTGTGCGCAGGCGTTTAGTTTTTCGCATCGTATTTTTGCATATTCGTAATTTAATTTTTTTTTTATAAAATCAATTGGTGGTAGTTCATGATAGTGTGTGGATTAATATCACAGCACCGAGGATTTGGCAATAACCTTTTACGTCTATTAAAAAACAACACTTACGGGGCAATGTTTATTGTAAGAACAACATTTTTTTCTATGAATCGACATACTTTAAGCATTGTTGACGCTATTTCCATTTGAATGAGTAAATAGCGTCAATGACTTTATTTCCAAATTTTTGTTGACTTTATTTCGCTTTTGAAAAGGTAATAATGTCAATTGACCTTATTTCCATTGACCTTATTACCTGTCACCTTCATTCTTACCTCGTACATTGTGTTCATTTGTTTTTTATGAGTTCGTAGCAAAAGCGACCACCTGGCAACCTGTCAGGGTGGAATTTGGCTGAAATTTATGCATTTATCTACCAAAATTGTTTGATAAAGTGATAAACTTTGGTTAAATAGATTTCCATACATAGGTTGACAGTTCCTTTATCAAAATGATAAAATTATCATTTTATCAAGTTTATCAGCAGTTTATCAGTTATGATGAAGACCCCTATTATAAACTTTAGGTTTTTTCACAAAAGAAAGTAAATATGGACCATAGTTTTTTTTGAGGAATATACAGTTTTGACTATTTTCTTTTGTTTGTTTAATGTCTATTATATTCTATAAAAGCTCATTGTCTTAACAAAAACCACATAGTCTAAATTTCATACTTTGTAGAAGGATTAGAAAAATTCACCAAAATTTTGCAACTACAAAAAACTTTTTATTAAGGATTTTTAGAAAAATTCAAAGTATACAGTTTTATAGCCCATCAAATTCTAGCTTAATGAAGTGTTATTATTTTCGAACATTTGTCGAACATACGTTGCATGGAGAAAATGCGTGACACCGTCAGCAAAAAAAAAAATTAACAAAAATCAACGCGAATTCTCAGCCCCTTGAAACTTGTACTTAAATTTTTTTGAATTTTTCCAAAAATTTGTTTTAAAATATTGGTGAATTTTTCTACAAAGTTTGAAATTTACACTTATATGGTTTTTGTTAGATAATGAGCTGCATTTTTATAAAAAAATGATAATATACTTACGGTGACCATAATTATGGCAGCTGAGTACGGGACAAAAAATAATTTTGCAAATTTTTTTCCACAAAAGCCTTGAAACAGCATTTCATTAGCCTCAAAATAGCATATTATTTGGCATATGCAGCACATAAATATTCAGTTGTGACATCACACTTTCGCTGAATATTTTTCCATAACTTTGTAATTTGTGCTAGAAATTTTTACCCCACAAAATGTCTTTCAAACATACCTAGGCAGCGAAACATGATGAAAATATCCGGCTACTTTTGAAACACGAGTGGTATTCAACGGGTTATTGTCAAACTTAGATTTCGACCAAGCACAATGCAGTGCATAACATCCGGAACGAGCTGAATTGCAAAGCGTACCCTTCCATCTTTGAGAACTTCTTTACTTTTACAACATTCTCCTGGTAGCCAATTTTTTTGGAGTTTCTCACGTTGAAGATACAATCCCCCATACAATCAGCAATAATTTTTTTGGCGTAGTTTCTCCTAATGAAGCCTTGTTGTTTTTGGAATCCATATATGTAAACAAAGTTTGAAATTGTAGCGCAAAATTATAACTTCAGAAACCATCCACATATCAATGGCTGAGTGGAAGATCGACCTATCTCGGCAGCCAGTTCAAAAACGCCCTATGTCAGAAATTTTTTCAACAATGCCCTATTTTAGAAATTAGTTGAAGTACGCACTATTTTGGAATTTGATTGAAAAATGCTCTATCACAGACTTCAGTTCAAAAACGCCCTGTCTCAGCTGCCGATTCAAAAACGCCCTCTCTCAGCACATTTTCAATGCATTTTCGTTTGAGATAAGGCGTTTTTGAAACGAAATATGAAATAGGGTGTTTTTCAACCAAATTCTGAGATAGGATATTCTTCTTGAAAGTTTTCCGATATAGGGCGTTGGCGATTGGGATCAACTTGTAAAATAACGTTAAATTGCAGGCATCTAACCCTAATTTATTTTTCATGCAAATATAGGTTCGAGTATTTTTTATGAAGTGTGAAGTAGGGATGCAGAAAAAATATCGATGCATCGGAAACATCGATGTTTGATATTCGATGCATCGAATAAAACCGATGTTTTGGACCTTCCGATATATATCGATATATCGATGTATTTTTTTCGATGCATCGACTTTTGTGTGCAATGTACACTACATAATAAAATTATTTTGTATGCTTCTAAACTCTTTGCTCTGGTAACTATTCTAAATGTGGAAATTTCACTATTTATGCCCTATTAGAATATATATTGTATTAATATTATGAAAAGGTATGAGTTATTTGCACTAATAAATTGCTAATTTATTAGTAGAAACGTTTAGTGCCAAACAACCACCTACAAAATGATGTTAATTGATATGATATTAACACTCTAAACCCTTTGGAAATTTGGGCAGATTTTAAACAGTAATTTCCAAAATTATTTCACATAGCTTATAAACATAGTGAAATAATATAAAGTGATGTACGCTTATTTCAAAGCAAAATTTGCCGATTTCGGATTAGGTCCTCATCCTGAGGGACTGAAAACATCAGTACTGCAACGTTATGTGTGCTTTTGCACAAGCGGCAAGAATTTCTTGACATGTTTTTTTTTTCTCCTATCAATAAGTTCTCACTCAAAAGTTGAAAGAAAAAATTATGATAATAAAGTACCAAAT